CATGGACCAAAGTATGACTGTAGTAAGGAGTGACACATGACTCAGTTCAACCATCTTCCGTTCCTGAAAACTTACCTCAATTTACTGCTTGTATCACAATGAAAAGTTACTTAACAGCTTGTTCCTTCTGCTTACAAGATAGTTAAAATATATAACTCTGTAAAGCCTATCTAGCAGCTTCTGCTAGCAAGACTCTGTGTGAAGAATGGCTTTGTAATGCAGGCTAGACGGTCATATGAAAATGACATTTTCACACATTTGTCTCTTCCTGCGTGTCAAGCCCTAGCCTTGCTCAGATGCACAGACACACTCACCTACCACAGCTTAGAGCATGGTCCAGACGGCAAACATACCTGCGTTCTGCATCTGTCCCTGTGAAAAACGTGCTCTTTTTCCTTTTAGCTGACAGCAGCAGAAAACACACTTTCTGAGATACGCAAGAGGAAAGCCGCATGTTTGTGACGGGGTGTTTATTTTTGAACTATGGCAGCTCTCAAGAAGCTGCTTAAAGGTCTGGAGTGCAGGGAATGGGCCAGGCAGAGGTGGATTACCGGGCAGGGGGCAGGTGAGCCAAAACCAAGGCTTCATGTATCAAATATAAACAGCTGTGTTGAGTGATATGTTACGTGACCATGCCTTTAGTCCCTCCTTTTTTTCCACCACATACTATAGTGATTCACTTTATTCAACTCAAGCAATATCTCGTCACTATGTTGAATACAGCCTGATCATTATAACCATGGGGTCAGAGCCTGGCAAGTACTACTGCCTTTCTTCTTTAGAAGCAAAAGAAATATATTTCCAGCCCTCTTTTAGCAAGACGTCAGACTCGCTAAAGAAAAATACTTCTTCAGCAATCACTATCAATCACGTTTCGCCTTAGAGGCATTTGAGGAAAGATCCACAATATACAAAGCACGTTTAAAAGAAGCCTGCTTAAAAAGGGTATGCAATCATCACATCGCAACATGACATCATGGTATGAATTAGCAGTCCTTATTCTAATTTTATACTTCCTTTGACAGTCTTCTAACTTCATGGTAGACTGCCTGCTAGACTTAAGTATAACTTAAGGAGTGGACTTACAGACACCAACGTCTATAGTAAAGCATCAAATACTCCCCTTAGATACTGAAGGATGAAGATATGTATTCAATGATTTTCATGATAATACTAATAGATATATAGCTAACATACATAGCAAGTATAGAGAAATCAATGTCATGATACCATTTGTTGGTTAGCTAATCAAGTATTCTACCATTATGACATTTCCTTACTGCCCATATTCTCAAGGCACACAGTGAGAAAAGCAAAAATGCTAGCTACTTTTAAAGAGAGCTGAACTGTCAATTTTAGATTTTTTACTTTTACTTTTTTTGTGATTTTGAAAGATTTGCTTGGAACAGATTTCACATTTACTGTGTTTTTAAATAACATTTGCTTTGTTATAGAAGTAGTGTTTATTTTCAGCATGACCAAAACATTTTTTTTTCCATCTTCAGAAGTTGTTTGCAACTTGCACGCAGAAAGGACAGTAGGTCCTTTTAATTGCATCTGTAGGCTAATAGCAGAAAATTCTAGCTGCTGTGGCCTATACTAATTCCAAAAGAGTAGACCACAAAAAGGAAATTTTAAGAACTGGATAGAAAACTAATTTTCCATCTTATTAAATTTTCCAATTTTTCCCCCCTTTCCTTCTCCCTGAACAATGACTTCTGCATCAGGATAAAACAAATGTCTTGAAACATTCATTTTTTTCCAAATACTATATAGAAAGTGAGAGACCAATTCAGCCCACAATAGCACATAACCTTGTAGCTAAGGAAGGCACTCCCTGGCATTGCCTAACAAGAGCCTTGAGCACGAGTTTCCTACAACCCAGGTGAGGCTATGGAATATTTTGTTTTTTCCTCCCTACTTCTACAAGTTTCATAAAGAGACAGTTTTCTCTGCAGAAATTTACCCAAAAATGATTTGTGAAAGGTTATGATTTTGACAAATAGACATTCTTCTGACAAAACAAATTGAACTGAAGGATTCTTGACTGACTCCAGTTTTGTGTACAGATGGAGCTCCTGACCAGAGTTAACCTTTTAGAATCGACCCTCTCAGGCTCTAGAGACAGCTCAGCTAATTTTTTCTCTTTTTTCTCAATGTTTTATTAAACCATTGTCTGCCTAGCAAGTATACTAGAAACACTATAGTATAGAGATTTTATCTCTTCAAAAAAATTTGGATCATATCCTAAACCCTCTGGTATACAAATAATAACTGATGTTTTATGGATCAAAGCAAGCAGTTTATAACTGAGCAGCTCAGTTATAACTGAGTTAATAACTAGCCTTCCTTACCACAAATGCTGTTATTTGCTCACCACAATTTCTAACATGAAATCCATGCCCTAGGATGCTAAGTCAAGATATTTATGTTGCATTTCTCTTTTGTCTTTTTCAGTCAGCTACTGTAGCTCATGATTATAAAGTTCAGTATGTTTTGTGATCCATAAATTCGCATTCTTCTTCCCTGGAAATTCTCCTAATAAGTTCATATAGTTTCCCCAAAATTGTGGTGTTTCCAACATGAAGCCTAACAGTTGTGAGCAGCAGAAGCATCAGGTGTCATATAAGCTATACACTCGTTTATCCAAATTAGTTTGTTATTTGACTTTTTGACAACAGCATAGTGTTCACCCATATCAAGATTGTGACCTTCCCTAATTCCCAGGTCCTTGTAACTGACTCAAGGATTCCAAATAATTTAAAGGAAAATTAATCTTTAGAGGTCAAATTCAATTCCTACAGAATTAACAAAAATTTGTAATTGATCTGAGGGAGTCTGGGATTGTGCTATATATATAGTAATAAATAAAAATAATTATTGCAATATTACATGCAAACTATTCATTGCTATTTTCCAATAGGCATAGGAGACTTTTCAGAAAGTGTCTAGTTTCTTTATGGTTACACAACTGGCATAATAAATCCTGAGAACAGTGAAGTTTCAGTTGCCAACCTTTGACTGCATTGGATAGTCATTCTTTATATGATCCATAAATCTTTGCTTTGTTTGGGAAAGAAATCAGGCCAAAGAACTCATCAATTTCACAAACACTGCCGTACTGATCTGCTGGAAATATTCTTTCAGAATGAATAGATATTAATTATTCACTTAAAGTTATGCTCTCTTAGGTCCTTGAAAAAGAAACAGAAAAAATGGTAGAAGTCATATAGGGAAACGTTTATGGATGTTGTTTTTCTTGGATGCATTTCCACTGTTCAAGAAGCAAATATTAATTGTATACACATACTGAAAAACACTTTGATTCTAGATTACCTTTTAGTATAAAATATTTACTTTTCAGGAACAGTCAATCTTATAATTCTATTTTCAAAAATCTAAAGATCAAAGCATCTTTAGTGAGGAAAATAGACATGCAAACTAGATTGATTTAATGATAATCACACCTCTTTTCTTTTGTTTTCTTTTTGGTCAACCCATCCGTTTTGATGAAAGTATTTTGAGGGAGTTCTTGATGGAAATGAAATGAATGAATCATTGCAGCATAGCAATGGCTTGAGATGTGCAGGACGTATAGACGGGACTTTGCCTCAAATCTACAGTACAAATTTAAGGGTAAACTATGTAGAAGATGTCCCATTTGTCATAATGTGACACCCGATCATTAACAGAGGCCCTGTCCTTTTGTCTGAACTAACGTCTTCCCATGTGGATTCCATAAACCTTCATTACTACCTGTATGTGATGACGTGAAATGTTAAGAAAGGTACCTGTCTTGTTAATTTCATAATCCATACAGACCTTTTAAAATCCAGATTAAAATATAAGATTAAATTGTAATTTCTGCAGCTAAAAAGGAACACTAACACCAGTTCTAGGAGAAATCAGCTGGTACCAGATAAATATTTAAAACTAGGCTGTTTGTAGTGCAAAATAATTCAATAATGCTTTTCTTCTCAAAAATTAACAGTAAAAAAATTAGTATTCCAAAAAGCTAAGTCTTCAAATAAATCCTCAATAACCTACAGTCAAAAGGCTACAAGAGATATTTTCAGCAATTATGCATATTATTCCTCGAGAGAAATTAATTACTAAATACATATACAGAAAATTGCATATTCACAAGCCCACAGAAATTGAAATCTATTATTTGATTGCTGAATATTTTATAGAACAATATTGATATGAAAAATAAACCAGGTGAAATTATTCCCTTCAAGCCACCAAAAATTCTAATTTTCTAAATAAAAAGCTGTTATCTAAATGTATTAGCATTTTTTATTATAATTTTAATAGAAGCAATAAAACATTTAAATGTAGCTGTACGTTTAATAATATTCAAACTGTTAGCTGCTAGGCAATATGTGTGAAAACCACATTCGTATTAAAACTTTACTAAAATCTTTATCAATAATAAATATGGAGTCATTCATTTGCTTTTCCTTAGTGATGACATACTAAAGAAATACACAAAAGAAAAAAACAGCTTCCTTATAACATCTTAAAGGAAAGTTTTCATCTTGAATGCAATGGACTTTGAGGAAGACATTCCAGGTTGTCCAGGTTCTGTGTCAAGATACACAGGATACTCCCAATAGACAGATAGATAATCCCAGCAGCTGTGGACTGAGAGAGATGTATTTTCAAATGTATTTCTAGGCAAAAAGGAGGACTCTAGCCAAGTCATGTTAGGAAAAGAAATGGGGCATCACTGTCACTTTATACAAAGGGCTTTGAAAAAGCACTCAAAAGTTAATTTCATTAGCAATAGTCCCTGCATCTCACCTGCTGTGCAGGAGCACCCTCAGACACAAGCCTGAGGCTAAGTAAATGATTTTTCTGCATTGCTGATCTACTGGAAAACTTGCAGAACTACCCCTTGGCTGTTCCAGCTGGTACCTCAGCAGAAAGGCGGGGGGCTGCCTGGCATGCTGCCATGCTCTCAGGGGTGCCCTTCTCTGCCTATCCACTAGCTCGAGCGCTTTGGCCAGACTTAAGCAGGCTCCAACCATCCCGCTTGCTCCCATGACATCCAACAGACACGGGGCAGAAGAGAGAGACTCGGAGAAGGACTTCCACATCACTGCCTCAGCAACACAGGATTTCCAAGCAGCCTGCTCACTGACTAAATTCAGGATATCTGCAAGCAAGTAAAAAATAAGCAGAGACCTGGGCTTTAAAGCCACTCTTGGAGATCGCTCAATTCAGGCAAGCACAGCACAGGGCCAGTAAGGCCACAGTGCACTGCCTCATCCTGAAAACACATCCAGCTGAGAGCTGCTACTCAGTACAGTTACCACATAATCATTCTGAGCCAGAGAAGTTCCAAGCACCGTTTTCTCGAGAAGCATGAAAAGATTTAAACCATGAATCACAGTTCTTTGCCCATACCAAGGAGTTTAGTGTCGACTCTAGAATAATCCTCTTGGTCTATGTATTTGTAACTTCTGCTAACTGGAAGTGTTACAATAAAGATACTATTTCCCATTTTTTTTTCTCACAAAAATGTGAGGAGAGGCACAGTACTGTAGTAATTCCTCCTTTGTTTTATCACGTCATCAAAAAATCATCCTATCATTTTGTATTTCTGTTGCTCATCTCCACATTTAAGTCAGTCAGTGCTTTTTCTTCCTCTTTTACTTTGATGTTATTTTTCATTACTTTTGGTTTTATAGAAGTATTCTAATACAAGGTTGAAGTATAGGGGTTTCAGTGATCTGTTAGCCTAGAAGGTTATTCAATTTACACACGTGAAAAACTACGTCGGTTGGGTGATAACTACAGCAGTGCTGGATGCTCGTGGTGTTTGCCAACTAGTTCACTTCAAACATGAATTTATTTGCATTTTCTTGTAGATAATTAATTCAACCAATATTGATAATAAAATTTGTAGGATTTTTTTAAAAAACAAATGAAATTAACAATGATTTTTCTAGTAATTATCACGTAATCAAAACTTTAAGGATGTTTAAAAGTAATTTTCCCTTCCAGAACACTTTCAAATTTTCTGAATGGCACTAGTATTTTCAAACTGAAGAATTTGGAAGTTCCTATTTAAACAAAGTATTCATTTAGAAACTGGTAAATAAATTTTGTTAAACTTTGATTTTAATTTACACTAGAAAGAATTTTAAAATATCAAAGTTTCTCATATAAAATTATAATTGACTGCTGCTCACTTCTAACTTTTTTAATGCTTACAAAAGTGATTTTCCAAAATAGTTAAGAAATAACATATACATGCTACTTTGTCATACTTCATAAAAGCCTATAATCCTAAAGAAACTGGGTTAAATTAGATATGAAAAAAAGGAAACCTCGAATTTAAAATTAATTTTAAAAATGTGAATGCCCTCAAAATGACAGCAGTATGGTTGAGTAGCACAAATAGTGCAGGAATACTCTGGGATATATTTAAGTCTAATTTGGACCTGGCTTCACTGTCTATGTATTATTTATCTGTCTGCATTTATACCTCCTTTCTACTTGAGAATACCTCTAACCAGGAGAGAGAGGTATAAAATGCATCTCCTGTTGGAAGCCACATTCAGATCCTTGGAATCCATGCTATGACAATATGTCTATCTTCAGACTATTTTTCTTTCTGTGCAGTGTGATTTAAAACCATATTCAATTTTTTTTTATAGCTCCCTGAATTCGGAATGTCTTTTCCAGTTTTCCCCTGGATTGATAGGCCAAGTCAGAAGAAAAATTTGGCCTTTAGTTTAAAATAAAGTGAATGAAAGCTAAGATAGTTGACATACTATTCTCTATCTGATGCATGCACAGGGAAGAGCAGAAGTAAGGCATACAAATGATTAACTATATCAGTGAGAATCTTGCCTTTTTGATCACTGCATGTTTACTAAATGTGACCATCATTACTATTTATATAACGGTTATGCCTCTGGACCAGGATCCCATTTTGTTAAGCAATGCACAAAGGTAATGGCTATTGTCCAAAAGACCAATGTGAGATTTGCCCAGCTGAAGACAGCAGAAATCCACTGTAAATGGGGAAGAACAAAGCCGATCAGCAGTTGTGTTCCTGACTGCCACTAGATTACTAAGATTTCTTTGTTTCCTCTAAAAAGATTACAGATCCTATAAGCAAGTAGATAAAACTGGGCTTGTTGAAGTTGCTGCAATAGTTTTGGCAGAGACACTGATAAAGCCAGAATTTCAGCAAGTTAAACTGTAGATTCAAGAAGTCACTGAGGGAAAGGTGCAGCTCTTGGTACTTAAAGGCAAGAATTTTTTTTTTTTATTTATAGAGATCTTACCAGCTTTTTTTTTTTTTGGCAACAGGATGATGATGTAAGAGAAAGTCGGTTTAGTTTTACAGCATACGGAGTGGGGCCGTGTCTGCAAGCAAAAGATGGAGTGACACAAAAGGGGCCAAACAACCCCGTTCAAGCTGCACCAAAAAGCCCCGATGAGATGAGAAAGGTATTTATTGACCGGGCCAAGAAGATAGACACAATTTCCAGAGCTTGTTTTCCATTAGCCTTTCTGATTTTCAACATTTTTTATTGGGTAATTTACAAAATCATTAGGCACGAGGACATTCACCAATAACAAGATTAAGGCTTTTAGCACATACAGTTCTGGCTGGCATGTTCAACAGGAGGCTTTCTGTTAGAAATATGCACAGGAGTCATCAGGAGTGATAAAGGCATTGAGAGGAAAACAAAAAGGAACCTACATGACTTGCTTTACCAAGTCTCAGTGGAATGGAAGAATGACACCCAGAGAAGATACATCTGCTATTGCAGTTTCTACATCAAACTAAATATTATCAACTTTTTCCACAGCAAATCACTCTCTACTGAAGCTTTATTGCCAAGTGTTTATACATACTGTTATATAGTAGCATAATTGTACAGTACTCTGATGTTCCTTAAAATTTTTTAATTCTGGTGTATTTTTAATTATAAAATGGGTCCAGAACACCCTAGGCAAATCCCATAGTATTAGAGAATAGATTAGCATTTGTAACCCTTATTTCAATTTTACAAGATAATGACAGATTACTGATTTGAGTTTTTAGAATTCAAGGACTTTTTCTTGTTTTTAGAACAGTATCTGTGGTTTTGCAATGAGCACATTTGATGCATTTAAGTTATATTTTTTATTCAAAGCATTCCATATTATGGTTCCACTGGAAAGTGTGAGTTGAAATAATCTGAGAGACAGCACAAGGTACAGCTGCCAAATAGTGTGAATATCACTTGGAAAATATATTAAAATTTGCCAAGTAGTGCTTCCTGTAAAGGCTTTGTTTTTTCCTTTTAGTTACCTGCAAGTTACACTCACTTTGATAAATTGAAACTTAAAAGCTATTTAATCTTTTTTGTATTTTTGAAGTTTTTTTCCTCAATTAATAATTCAGAAAACTTTGGAGGTGGACAAACTGCATTAAAATCTTGCAATGCTCTGTTTTTAATTCAGTGCAAAAGAAACCCTGCAACAAAGTTAAAGGAAACAGTCATCAGCTCTGCTGAAATATTGTGAGGATGAGTACAGCTGTGTTTATGTACCTATATCTCCTATATGTTACGTACATCACAGAAAGTTTCATATATAGGTATACGAAGTTTTCTGTCTCATTCTTTGAAGTTTACTGACATGATTTAGATACTACTTAAGTACTTCACAAATTCAAAAAAAATGCAGTTCTAAAACATGGAAAAAAACATCCAGATGGTCTTTTAATTGAACCTCAGAGTAATAAATAGGGAAAATACTACTAAAACTGTTGAGATATTTTTCCCATTTAGAGCTACATAAGTTATATTACTTGCTTCTTTGAATTATAACACAATAGATCACATTTATTGCATATTCTGTAAACACTTGCTATTATTCTCTACTGAAAAACAAAAATATGCTAAGATATGGAAATCTGACATTTAGAAGTACTAGGTACATTAAGTCCAGTAGCTGAGGCTGTTTCACATTGTAAAATGTTTTTATTTTGACCATGTTTTAAATTTTTGGTTCGTTATTGCTCAGAATGTGTATACAAAAGCAAAATATAGCTGCAGGCAAACACCTGGTGCACGGCCAAAGGCATGTTGCATATGAAGTAATAGAAGTAACCTTACCCTGCACTGAGGATTATAACAAAGCAAGTTTGGGTTTGGTTGGGTTTGTTATTTTTCCTCTAAGGATTAGTTAGAGAGATTTTAAAATAGCAGTTCTCTAATTTTGTTCAACTGCATCAGAAAGAAGCTATATAATCCTCTCTGACTCAAAAGCAATATTATTTTACAGTTTTGCTTCATTTATTATATAAAACTAATTCATTTAATTTTAAGTAATTACCGTTTGCTCACATGATGTCTTTTTTTTTTAAACTGATTTCTTTAGTTATGTGTTCCAAAAAAATCCTGATCACCAAAGAATGTGTGTGCTGATCTATGTGAAGGGGTAGTATGAACTAATACCTGACATTTCAATTGAGTTATATTTATCTCCCTCAAACTTGTCATGAACTATTTTGTAAAAAAAGAGAGGTTAACTTATTTTTACTTTCAGTGAAGTCAATAGTATTTTGCTTAAGGACTATTTGAAGTACTGGACCCATAATCAAGAGGCAATCATAAAACATTACATTAACTTTCAAGCTTATCTCTCTTCTTACCTTTTAAAATAGCTGGTTTCCCTCAATAAAGAATTCTTCATTGAAGAGATAAATACACAAAAAATGCTGGCCAGATACATAACTCTCGAGTTTTTCTGTAACACTTCACTTGACTGCCTGGTTCACATTGCCTCTTTCCCAATCATTCCATAGTCTAATACTACCTTGTTTGGAAAATGTTAAGAAACCTGAGTAATACAAGCTAAATAAATTTAGTCCTAATTTCTTTCTTCGCTGCTTAAGTGAGAAAAGATGTTCTCAGATACAGAAATGAGATGAAAGGCTTGAAAGTGATAAAAGAGAGATTGGATTACTGGGCTGGCAAATATAACAGGGGGCAAGAAGGAATGTAGAATTGTTGAACAAGAAGGATAAAATTCTTCATTCATGTATGAATCTATTATCTCAGTGAGGGGGAAGATGGTATGCTAATCTAAGGAAAAATTATGGTATGTGGTATATATACACTAAAAAGTATAAAACTACATTATAATTATTTTCTAACATCCCTAATGGATTGTTACCTCTAGGCCATCACATAGGGAAGGTGAGCACACCCTATTTCTATACCGAAAATTTACCTGTAACATTCAGTCCTCTAACAGGGCATATTGATTAAAAGAATTAAATATATTTAAAACATTATGAAAACTCTATAGTTAGAATATTTTTGTATGTATTAAGTAATTCTATTAAGAATAAAAATATTTCAAACAAGAGGAAAAAAGTAAGAACCGTTCCATGATGGCGCTTTCAAATGTACAGAACATTTGGCATGTCACCCTGCTGCCCTGAAGTAAAGGTTTTTTATTTTGATATAATGGAAGGAAGAACTCTTGAACTGATGTTTCTTTATCTTTTACTGGAACTGTAATATTCGCCAATTTAACAGAAACCTTTTCAGTCCCAAGCAACTTTGTGCAAAGTCACACGGCAAAGAAAAAGATAAACGTCAGTTAAGATTACAAAAGACTTCAAGGCAGAAATACCAGCTGTCCACTAACCGACTATGGGAAAAGCCCAAAAGTGCCAACAGGCACTTCAACAGTAACTGTCATCAGCTATGAAGATTAGTGTGGGAGCTGATTCTTCTGCAGCTGTAAAATGAAGCAGCAGGGAATCAGATCAGGAAGTTGCAAACAGAGAGGTACTTTGCCGCATCTATCACGCTGCAGCATCTTTGCTCCAGTCCTGCACAAGGAGCACTGCAGAAGCAGAAGGATCAGAGAAATGATGCCTGAGGCAGATACTACCTGTTAGGACTTCTACATCTAAAATAGGTTCCATTCGGCAGGCTGGAGTAGTTAGTTCCTTGGCTCTCTGGAGCACAGGTCCTCAGCAAAACCACGCAGGGAAGCTTCTTGTACGCACAACCTTTGTGTGGCAGGCAACAGCCATCACAGCCTAGACCTAGGTAATTATTCACCGTAGGTGCAGGCTCAGTGCTATTCAGGTCATGTTTTCATGGCTTCCATAGGTTAGCCCTTTAGCTTCGAAAAATAAAAACACTGATGTTTGAAAATCCATGTGATGCACCAAAACCAGAGGATCTGGTGGGTTACTCCAGTAGTACAGCTGCCAAAGAGCTGGCGTGGTTACCACAAAAGAGAAATTCAGAAGCATGAGACTTTCTTACCACCCCTGCCCAGCCCCCAGTACCCCCACCATAGGCATGCCAGCTCAGGTGGAAACCACACGCACAGGGGACACTGCCTCACCCAAGATAGCCGCTGCAAAGTGTGCATTCGCTTGGGACAGCAGCTGTGGCTGGGAAGAAGCAGAACTGACTTCTTTTCCACATCATCTGCTTTCTTAATGGAAAGAGGAGTGGGGCAGGAGGACAGGAGGACATGCTGAGGCTACGCATAGCACAGGGGCCATATGGAGAGAGAAAGCCCAGAGCAGTGCCGCCTTTCACACGACTCTCCTTCCTGCACTAGAGAGTTATGTGGTCCAACCCGTATTACCCTTTGTAAGGTCAAAAATTTTCAGTTGCTGAGAGAGAATAAGGAAGATGCTTCATAAGTACAGCAGTTAAACTTACTTAACTCATACAGGCATCCTCTAGAAACTAGAGTACCAAACTCCTACTTAAACTCTGCATAATAAAATGCATTTTGTTTTAAAACCCTATCCAAATACCAGGAAAACACCTTGTCAAGCCTGAGGCTTGGGTTTCTGGGTTGGTTTTCTGCCCCTACAATGTTAATAAATTAGAAGAGACTTGAGGGAGATAGCAAAGAAGTGAAGTGGTGTTTTACTATTTAGAATTTAGTTATTTAAGATCAAAATAAAGTTACCTCTTTACTGTCCCCATATTCTATTTTTAATGGGGTTTTGGCTGCAGACGCTCATTGCTATTGAGGCAGGTTAGTGGAATACAGGAATGACATGGAATTTCAGGTTTTTAGTTGAATAAAGAGAATTCAAAGAAAACCAATCTATGTTATTGGAGCTTGTTCCATAAGCTTTTTTAATAGGCTGCTTTATAAGGAATCCTTTCTGAAGTGCGAGATATGATTCTGTTTAATCACTAGAAAGACTTATGTTTAGGCAATTCAGATGTGCACTTTACATTTGAGGAATAAGGAAATGCCTCCACTTTGCACTATAACCAATTACAGAACTGTAGGTTGGTAATGTAGATAAAAATAGAGTGAAGATAAACTGTGTAAACACTTTATATTTATAAGATCAGGGAAAGATTAAAAAGTCTTCCTTAACCTTTAAAAATTAAAATGTATTATTTTTTAATCAAATTTTATATTAGATGGAAATGAATTTATTTTTACAGTACCCAGCCCAAATTGAGATGGTTGGTTGTAAAAGGTGATAGATATACTTTATGTGCAACTTCTGCTCTCATTTGAGCTTTTATTGGAATTAATCCAATCTAACAGAGCAGAATTTGGCCTTATACTGTGAAACTGCCAAGTGAGCTAATAATTCCTACGGGACCCCTGTAAGGTAGTAAAATAATTTTATCCACATCTTACTATACAATCATATGGTTATTTAAATGAGAACACTATCAGATCATCATTTTAAATGAGAACACTATCAGATCATCATGGCTTTTTTTCTCTTTTTGAGACCACTAAGAAAAATATAAATCACAAACTCAGCTACTTGTTAATAATAAAACAGCTATTCTATTTTGCAGTGGTTATAGAAAAGGTGCCTTCAGGCAACACGCGTCACCAACAGTAGTTACTGAAATATTATCAGTTCAGAAGGCTTGTGGAAGCAGGTTAGATTGCTAGAAGCAGTGGGTTAAACGCCAGAAAAACGTTGGCTCATCCTGTATTCTTGACGTTCTTGAACATTACTGCACTTCTTCACTTTCATCTTTGTGAAATATGCAAGAAACATTTCTTATGTTTGTATTTAAATGTATGACAGAGTGATGTTAATGGATGAAATGGACTAAAGTAACTACTGATGTTCCATGAATGTGTAATTGTGAACTATATAATAAGAAATGGTGCCATAAGCTTTGACAAAGTTTTAACATAACGTACAGTAGCTTGTGTTAGTGATCCTAGCTTTTTAAAGGCTACATACGGCAAGAACAAAAAAAATTACAATAGTGTACTTGTCTGTGATTTTTAAACATATTCTGCAAATTCCTTCTAGACAACATACAATGGCAATTTCATCTCAAAGTACTTTTTAGTAAAATTCTATAAATGTGTTATGCATGGATTTGATTAAATTCCTTTTTATTGTATTACAGTATAATATTGCATTTAAACTGACATTCTCTGCAGACAGAAGTGTTAAAATATGTGCAGTTTATGGTGTCAGTCATGTAACTCCAGATATTTTGTTCCAAAAAAAATAAAGTTAACTTTTTTCAGAAACAATGCAGTTATTTTTCTGACATTTTATGTAATGCGTTTAAAGTCACAGAAGGGACTATCAGCCTCATTGGAAAAAAGAGTAAAACCCTCATGAATAGTTAAGGTGTATTAGCATTTAAATATTTCAAGATTGAAAAATCTGAAAGAGAAGGAACTGAGTGCTATAAATTGTTTTATTATTCAGAATAAGCTTCAAAATACTTTAACTGAATTAATGAAATATACAAAGAAGTGTTTTAGGGGAAACGATGGAGGAGGGTAGGCTCTCAATTAGAGGTTTGATTTCCCAAGGCTTCCTTTACAGTTGTGGACAGAAAGAGGCCTTTACAGAGGATGTTCATAGGCAGAAGACTAGCTCCTGTTATGAAAAAAATCCCATTTGGAAAATTCAGGTTATCCACGTAAGTGCCTGTTGAAACAAGTACAGCCACTTCAGAATAGTCCTGCTGGCCTTATTATCAAAAGGGCAAAGAATTTCATTTGGAGAAAAACAGCCTTACGGAAGCTTGATAGATATGCCCTCCTGAATGTTCTTTGATAGAAAAATGACTTTGACAAAACTCAAGTGAAGTAGCATATAAGAATCCTCTGAGAACAGCCTGAGTTCTGCTAATTTGGTTACAGCAGCATTAACACACTCATGAAGAGCATACAGGATGGGTCACCTCAGTAACAGCCGTGTGTCGCTGATGCCACTTAGGCTTCTGGGAATCTTAGCGCAGTCTCAGGGTAGATGCTTTGCAACCCTCTGCTTATGACAAAGTGGTACCAACTCCCTTCCCCTTGCTTTTCAAGTTAAGGCAATACAAAGACAAGAACTGTGGCATTTTCTCAAAAGTATCTCCACTATCAGCTACTACTAATTGAGTTCAGCAACATATGGGATAGAGCCTTATGAAATGGAAACGACTTAGACAAACAGATAAATGTAACCAGAGCACTCTGAGCCCATGCAGAGCTCCTGACTGAGCCCTCACATGTCCCACAGAACTGCAGGATCAAACCCCTGCTATTTAGGACAGTTGTTGCTCTATCAGGTTTTTAACCATCCTTTCTTCCCAAAAGCAAATAAAACCTGTTACCTTTGACCTTGTTCATATGCATTCACAAGCAACAATAGTATAAAACTACTACAATAGCAATACTTTCACACCAGGTGCACAGTTCCCAGAGCATGAAGATTGCAAGTGCACCCATCTGAGATATGCAACAAGCAACTAAACAAGAAGGTAGCTGCCAGGCAATGTGATTCTGGAGTCACAGAAGGAAGCAGTAACGGCTCCTAAAGAGATCAATATGTGATTGTGCTGCATAAACTATGCAAACCTTAACACAACATTCTGGAAAAATATAGATATTATGTCAAATAATAAACATACATTATTAATGTACAAACATGAACGTGGGTTGGACTAGATGATCTCCAAAAGTCCCTTCCAACCTCAACCATTCTGTGAAAGTGAGGTTAATGTCTGTATATAGCTACGTAATCATGTTAGAAATGAAACAAACATTCCATTCCATATTATCCATGCAGGGGATTTTATTTCTAGTATCCTACTCTCAATACAGGAGGGGTGAGAATTATGTTTGCTAGGTATCACTTTCCCTGAAAGGCTCTACCTGAGAGGCACTACTCTGAATTTAAAATCTTGAAAGACAATCCACCAAAGCAGCAAAATAGAAACAGAGAAAAAATTTCAACCTGTAAACAAATCAAAGATTTTCAAAATGTGAATAAAATACTTCCAAACCCTTAATAAACAAATATCTATATTTTATACTCAAATTGTTGCCAGTGCTTACATAACATGTTTTAATTCCTCTCTTAACAAGCCAAGTAACACACCTGACTTGTTCTGAAAACCAGTAGGTTACTTTATATATATTTAGCTCTATACAGATCCAATCTCGTTAGGCATGATCAGTAGGTATAGCCATTCAAACAATTGTTTTTAAAAGCACATGATACTTTAACTTGCTTCCCCTTTCATGAAGGCACGGTAAACCCCACGTAGGTATATTACTACAGAATAAGTCTATATGGTATTAGAATTAGGTTGAACTTAATTCAGAAGGGGAATATTGGAAATTCTTAAATATTATACTTAATTATATTATATTTGAAACAGGGGTTTTATTCTCCTCCTCATTCCTTGCTTTATTATACCAGTAATATCTTCACTTTTGAAGAAACTGTCAATTGAACCACAAGATGGCTCCCTCCCATATGAATTGGAGGAGGCTGCAGATATTTGCATTTTTTTTTGAGGTGATATACTTCAGCAAAATGAATTTTTCATGTATAAACTCCAAGCACTGACATTCATTATAGAACAAGGAAATGTATAAAGGGTAAGTACTATTCGTACTACAAATAACGTTTCATTTTTGAAAGTGATGCAGTCATCTTAGAAACAAAAATAGCTGAGATCTTAAGACCAAAATCCAGGGGATTACGACTAAATACATATATGAATATGTAAAAGTTTTTGTATCTGGCATTTTTATTTAATAATATATCCATTTAAAAACAGAAAATCATTAAATTATTTTTTAAAGAATTGGCTGATTGCTAACTACTTATTGCTACAGATATGACTGCCTTAAACAGAAAGCGAGACTCTGCTCCTAAATTCACTAAGGTGAATTCTACAGTTACTGCTAAGGTGCATGTTGTTAAGCTATAAAAAATGCAAAGAAGAAAGCATATTTTTTCATGTCAGTGAAAGCTATATATGCCCCTCTCTCATATCTGAGTATACATAAGCACGTATTACTTCAACAGAGGCAGATGATTTAAATCTGGAACTCAGTTTCCTTTGTGATAGCTTGTTGTGCCACCACCATCTCCCTCTCCTCACAGACTTTACCCTTTAATGTATCCACCAAACAAATATGGAAATAGCAGTAAGAGTACCCTGAACTTTGATCTGAAATGATCCTTTGAAGATGGAGTCTACCATTAACATCTATTTATTGTTTATCCTTAATTGCTGTAAAACTGATACCTTTTTTCTTGATTTAGATGCTAATTAAATAAAACCATAATTAAGACCGCTAACATTGAATCTAATACTAGTTAATAAATTACTTGCCAAATGGTAAAGAATTACATATTTAAGGTTCATAGCAGTTTTTACAACCTAAAAAAACACAATAAATATTGTGTTTGGTATACTCTTTCTCCAGGCTTGCTTTCCCAAATGATGACTCAACTGAAATATTTTAATGTAAGAGCCAACGTCTTCATATTTAATTGCATTGTCAATAAAAGCTCAGTTAAAAAACCAAGAAGAGTATATCTCAGTTCAAGAGGGAAACTTTTTGGTTGTACTCAAATGTGGTCAAAGGTAATACAAAATTGTTTATGTATTACCAGGTAGTTTTGAGAAAGTAACTTAAATGGAATGCTTCTGCAATGTTAAAAAATTGGATGGACAAAATGGGTCATAACTAAAAAATTGTACCCATACACTATTCCATTAACATTTTCAAAGGTGTTGTAGCCTCTTTTCACTAATCTCAGACTTACTTAAAGCCAAGTAACTTACTTTGCATAGAGTTTTGAGGCAGTAGCACAGCAGATGCTAGGTGAGGGAACTGAAAAGAGGTAACAGGTTTCTCCTCTCCCTCCCTATCTTTTCAACCCAATAACTTTTCATCGCACAGCAAATCTGACCATCTGGCAGGACGGGACCTACTTGCAAGACTTCACCCAGCAGTTGCAGTGCAGGGCAGCAGTGGTTTGAGTCCCACCAGGGCTACCGTGGCACAAGAAACTCAACATTCAGGTAAGATCCTGATGGCATCAGATGACTCCCTTCTGATAGCCCCTTATATCCTGCACTTTTTGATTTTTTTTTTAATTAATCCCCTTACTTCTTAATGACATCTTGGGATTGCTTCTTTGATTTGAGAGACTGCGTGTTCCTGCGTCACCTTCTGACATGGAGCTGTGTATTGACCTGGTTTGCTCTCCATGCTCCCCTTCTAGTTATTTTTCCCCTTGGATTAGCATCAACATTTCACTGAGCTGCTCTGCTTATAGTACAGTTGCATTGTTTTTCAGACAAATTCCTAATATATTATTTTCATCCATGACATGCATGCTTGTGCTCCCACTCTGGCTCTCCCTATAAGGGAAAACATGGCCCCTAGTTAAGATGCAAACGTATCATCTCCTCTGAGACCCTGGGCAATCGCTTGGGATAAGAGCTACACAAGAATTTAGGTGTTTACATCCCTTCCTCATCCCGCTCCTTCCTTCAGTACTTAATGCTGGGAAAAGCTCAAGCTCAAGCTCTGTTTTTAATATTAGCCTTTCCAAGGTGCCTAAAAGTCTTCCACTAACAAGCACCTTCCTCACACTACAAAATTTCCAGGGATAAAGCTTACATCTAAAATTGTATCAGACTTCATGAAATTTATTTATTCCTCTCCCATTTCTCCTGAGGCGCACAGCTCCTTTGGGATGTCAAGAGATTGTCCAGAAATCTCTGTAAACACAAATTCCTACACACTGTCTATTCCTGCCCCCCTCTCATCATCTCTGCTGAACTTCTGCTCACTCAAATACAACCATATCACACTTTTTAATGCTTAAAAGATGGCTACAGGGTAATTTCAAGGCACAGCCAATATTTGTGATCTATGAATTTTTACAAGGTTATTTAACCATTTTAAAATTGAAACCGAATGTTTTTCTTGTAGCAACCATAGCAACATATCCCACATGCGTCTTCTGGCATGTGCAGAACTATCTAAAACAAAAATATTTTTCCAGTATGATAGAAAGTGTTTACATTTTTGTTGCACATATAAGTCTTCTAACCCAGGGTCAAATTGAAGCCTTCAAAAATGTCATTCACTAGTAAGCATACAAGTCCAACCTACTGTCTGTTTAACCCTGCAAGATTTTATATGCTTCCATAGCAATTTACTTATGCATC